GGCATGAGGGTCCAACGCAGACCGAGGACCCGACCAACGCTGCTTGCAGCTTTAATTTTATTATATTATTCATCAACAATGATCAAAAAAATGTCTAAAACTGTTTTTTTTCTCTCTCTACCTAAACACATTTTGCTGTGTCGACTTTTGAGGCCGCAATTAACCACCGTTTTTTTGTTTTTTAATTGTTGATTACTCTGTCGATCATTTAATTGATTAGACGTTTGATCAATAAAATTTCAGAGATGACAAATGTCTGGTTTTGTCCAAAGATCTTCAGTTTACTGTCACAGAGGAGGAGAAAAAAAACCAGAAAACATTCACATTTCAGCTGCTGAAATCAGAGAATTTAGACGTTTTTTGTTAATTGATTATCAAAATAGTTGGCAGTTGAAGCAATAATTCTCTGCTAGTTGATTAATTGTTGTAACTCTACTAACTATGTACTCGGTTACTTTTAAAAACGATTGAACACATTAACAGGATCAATTTCACTGTAGTTTTTTTAAAATGTATTTTGTGACGATTACAACTGTTATTGTTTATGTTGAATAATACACGCGTTACATGCTGTTTTTAACTTAAAACGTAATCGCATTCATTTTACTGTATTGACGTTATAAAATAAAATCTTCACTCCGCTGGAGCCAGTCCAGTCTGCTGAGGAAGGTCATGAGATGTGGTTGAAAGCTCTGGCAGCGAGTGAAGTTCTTACCGTTGACTTTAAAGTAAAGTTCGACCAATACCGATTATTAGTAATCAAGGAGAAGCGCGATTGATTAGCCCGTATTTGGAGCTGATGTACGTGTGCAGTAGATTTAAATTAAACACAAAACTTGGTTGAAATGTTTTTGTTTGTCTCTGTTTTCAGTTCGATACTAATTCTTTAACGCTGATTGTTTGATCGGGCATCCCTTTCCAACAAACGACCAGAGGGATGCTCGGGATCGAACCCGTCACCATCTTATCAGCAGCACAGGTCGCTTGCCTGTTCCCGCGAGAACCACCGGGCCTCCTCGATCTCGCTCTCGTCCACGCTGATGTCGGTCGACACGGCGATGGCGAGGCAGCCCATCATGAGGCTGGAGGGCATCGGCCAGGGCTGGCAGGAGACGTACTGGACCGGGCCGACCTTCACGCCGCTCTCCTCCTCCACCTCCCTCCTCACCGCCTCCTCCACCGACTCTCCTGCGGGGACGGAGTTCGAGTTGGGTGTGTGGTTCGTCAAAGCTTCGTTAACATGCGCGTGTTCGTGTGTGTGTGCGTCGGTTACCGGGCTCGACGAATCCGGCCAGACAGGAAAACATCCCGGTCGGGAAGATCTTCTTCCTTCCCAGCAAGCACTGGTTTCCATCCGGGTGCACCACCAGCATGATCACCACCGGGTCTGAAAACACACGACTTCATTCAAGTATCCACTGCTATCGTCTCTGAGCAGGTTTTCTGCGAAGAGGAGCAAATAACAATAAAGATATTCTATTCTATTTCAAATACACATACTAGAAATTCTCCTTGCATCTACTTTGCATCTTTTTATGGTCATTTTACACCTTTGCGGTCAGTTTGTATCACCTCGTCATACTTTTGCAGTCAGTTTGTGTCGTCGTGCAGTCGCCGTGCCACTCTGCAGTTATTTTTTTTGCCTCTTTTTGGTTGATTTATGTCTCTGTGCCATGGTTTTGCACCCCTCTGCTGTGGTTTTGCGTCTCTTTGCAGCCAATTTTTGACTCTGCGGTCGTTTTATGTATTTTGCAGCTGTTTTGTGCGTCTTTGTGGTCATTTTGCGTCTCTCTGCAGCCAGTTAGTTCATAGTTAATTCGAGGCTGCTAACTCAGACCCACAGCTTCGTGGTGCTGCTGTTAGCGATGAAACCCAAACGTCATTGTAGAGATTCAGCTAAATAAGGAGTCGCACGAAACAGTGTACATTTAGAACTTTTTGAGTCTGACTGAAAGGAAGCACAGAAATTCGCCACCTGAAACAAGCGTTTTGCAGTAATTAATTGACTGATGGAACTTAATCTGATGAGGCATGGATTGATTACGTTAACTGTGATCAGATTTTGATGGTGCTTTATTTGTTTGATTAGGATTTTGACTTGATATTTGCTGACGTCTTGACATCCTCAGCACCCTCCGACCTCTGACATTGCTCATTTTATTGTACACTGACTAGGTTTTGTCATAGATTTTTACTTACATGCATTCTTATACTCTAAATAATGTGATTTTTTTCCACCCGCAGAATCCCTATTGTCACTCGTGTACACCAACATAAACGGTCATCTGCACTTTCTTGAGGGATTTTGTTTATTTTTTTGCACAGCTAACGACCTGCAGCCTTCGATTTTGGAGCAGACAGGTGAGTTTCATACCGACTCGAGGGTAGCAGGTGTTGTGGACGCCTTGCAGACTCCGGCATTCAGAGTTCAGGCAGCTCCTTTTGTATCCTGCCTCCTCCAGACCGGTGCTGCTGCCACATGTCGGACAGAAGCTGTAGCGGCTGTGCCAGCACAACACCGACCGGGCCTGAGCCACGACTCCTGGAGGACAAAGAAGCCCTACGGTCAGACACCAGACGGGCAGACGAAGAAAGAACAACAAACACTGTGTCTTCCTCACCGGCCTCCTCCTCGTTCAGCTTCAGCAGGTCTCGGTTGGGCGACTTTGGGAAGCAGCAGTTCTTTTCTCTGCAGCGTTTAAGGAGCTCAACAGCGTCTTCATCAGTGCCGACGGCAAACCAGGCAGGAGGCTCCCAGGTACCGCCGTTGTTCTGAGAGGAGGAGGATGACGAGGGGTTCTTCCTCCTCTCTACGCCCAGGAAGATGAGCACAGTAGCAGGTTTCTGAAGAAGGTCCTTCACAGCCTCATATCTGAACCGACACAGCCTGGTCTCACCCTGGTCCAGTCAGAAACACAATTATTAGCTGCTGGCTCCAGCCCACGAACATCTGTAACCCTCCGTATTTAGTTTTCTTTGGAATTAGGTGGTGACTTACAGATATACCTTAAATCTGTCAGCCAAAGTCTGGTCTTCAGAAATAAAAAGAACGTTTATTAAATTACATTTGCTCTTAGTTTTAGCCTCTTTTTGCTCCTACGTTTTAGCTACAAGTTGTAGCCTCTTTTAGTCACAAGTTTTAGCGTTTTAGCTACAAGGTTTAGCCTCTTTTAGCTGCAAGTTGTAGCCTCTTTAAGCTACAAGGTTTAGCCATATTTAGCAACAAGTTTTAATCTCTTTTAGCTACAAGGTTTAGCCTCTTTTAGCTACAAGTGTTAGCCGCTTTCAGCACCTAATTTTAGTCTCCTTTAGTCACAAGTTTCAGCCTCTTGTAGCTCCTAGTTTGAGCCTCTTTTTAGCTACTAGTGTTAGCTCCTAGTTTTTTGTTTCTTTTAGTCAGAAGTTTTAGCCTATTTTAGTCACAAGTTTTAATCTCTTTTAGCTAAAATTTTAGCTGCTTTTAGCAACAAGTTTTAGCTTCTTTTGGTCACAAGTTTTAACCTCTTTCAGCTACATGTTGTAGCTGCTTTTGGCTCCTAGTTTGTTTTAGCCTCTTTTAGCTCCTAGCTTTAGTATCGTTTAGCTGCAATTTTTAGCCTCGTTTAGCTCCTTGTTGTAGCCTCTTTTTGCTACAAGTTGTAGTCTATTTTGGTCTCCTTATACTCATAGTCCTAGCATTGTTTAGCTACAGTTTTAGTCTCTTGTAGCGAAAAGTTGTAGCCTTGTTTAGCTCCTAGTTTTAGCTTAATTTAGCTCCTAGTTTTAGCGTAATGGTTTTTCTTGTTGTAGCTTATTTTTGTCTCCTTATTCTCATAGTTTTAGCGTCTTCGAGCTCCTAGTTTTGGCCTCTTTTACTCTGTACTTTTTTCTTTTTTTGCCTCTTTTAGCTCCTTGTTTTGGATTCTTTCAGTCTCCTTTCACTCCTTGTGTTCCTGATAAGGTGACTTTTGGTACCTGCTCAGGTAAGTCTCGGCTTCTAATACCTCTGAGACTCCACCTCAGCACCCCGTGGCTGTTTTCAGGTGCAGAACACTAGCTTTCAGAAAAATCGCAGCAGGTTTAAATGTAGAACGTCATTGTACCCTTGCGCCGTTGTCCTCCTGCGGTGCGCTGACCATGGGGCTGAGCTTGGAGAACATCAGGTAGACCGTATCCGGGTCGCTGTGTTTGGCCTCCAACCAGGTCTTGTCGGTTCTCTTCCCACTCAGACGGTCCAGCATCTCCCTGCTGAAGTAGTTTTCCTGTGGGATGATTTCAGAACCGGGCAGAACTCTCTGGCAGCCTTCGTCTGTCCGGCCCAGCAGGTTGGAGATGTGTCTGTGGCCCCAGAACTTGGCAATGTCGTAGGCGGTTTGTGACGAACTGTTCACTGAGTATTTATCACAGCTGGAAGGTGAAAAACAGAAAAACAAGAGGTTAGAAATGTCAGGAATCTGTGTGTATCTGCATTGAAATTGCAATGATACATTTTGTCAACAGCAAAGCATTTTACCTTCGTTTAGTTGGTATGTTTTGCCTCTTCAGTCTTATATCTTGCCTCTTTTCAAAACTAAATTTACATTCCTACGTTTTCTACTTTTTTAACTTTTTTACTCCTAGTTTGAGTCCTGTTTTTCCCGTACTGTTATCATCTTTCATCTCCCAGTTTTATTGTAATCTATTTCCTCATTGTAGTTTTTCTCTCTCCTAATTTTACTCCTTATTTGGCCTCTAATTTTAACCTCTTTTAGCTGCTAGTTTGTCTCCGTTCACAACTACAGTTGGCCTCTTTTAGCTCTTTTTTTTAAACCTCATTCTAGTTTTAACGTCCTTTTAAATTCTAAATGTATTTGTTTTGATAATTTGGATGATTTTTCCTCATTTCAAAACTAAATTTTGCTCATTTTAACTCTGAGTTTTAGTTTTCTTCGGCTTCTACATTTATTGCACTGCATTTAATTTGTTCCTAGTTAAAACATTCTCTCACTCAAAATCTAGTTTTGCCCCCTAGTAGCTTTTACAAATGTCTAGTTTTAGCCTTTTTTCTCTCCTCTTCAAATATCCTATTTCTTAGCTTCTTTTAGCTCCAAGTTTTAGCCACATTCAGCTAATTGTTTTAGCCTTCTTTCTCTCCTACTTTTAGGGTCTTGAAGCATTCTCTTACTTCTTGTTTTAGTCTATTTTAGTGCTGATTTTTAGCTCCTACTTCTATCTCCTCCTTTCAGCCTCTTTAAGCAGCTAATTCTAACCTTGTTGAGCTCCTATTGTTTGCCTCGTTTTGTTTCCTTTTCAGCCTCTACTTAGTTCTTTTCATAACTAAATTTAGTTTCTTGTATGTCGCCTTGTTTTGGCCTCTAGTCAAACATCTTTGTGGTTTATTTTTGCTCCTAGTTTGAGTCTCTTTTACATTTGTGGTGCATTTTCTGAAAATACATCTTAAAGAAATATACTGCTGTGTGACAATTAGATAGAAATAAGAAACGTGGGGCTGCTTATTTCACAGCTCATCTGCCATCTAATGGCGTAAAAATGATTCATGCAGCTTTGCTCACAACGTGTAAAGCACCTGAAAGGCAGACTTAAAAAGAAAAATCATCGGAAATTAGACAGAAATGGAGCTTATTATTAGAATCTGCATGTACCCGTGTGACAGCAGCTTCTCCACCACACTGTAGTGTCCGTTGCGAGCCGCGAGCATCAGTGCCGTCCAGCCGCTGTATCCCGTCTGGTTGACGATGGAGGGCATCTGGGCCAGATGTGCGGTCACCTGAACCACATCTCCTCTGGCTGCAGCATCCAGAAACTTCTCCACCATCTCCTCCTTCGCACTCATCTGGAGGCTCGTCATCCCGGCTGCCTGGACAGAGACAATAAACCCTGAGTTAGCACAGGAGGGGATATGAAAGTAAGATATACACAGTTAAACCAGCCAGCTGAAGCGAAGTTATGCATGCCTGAGTTGGCCAAATGTGATGCATGAACAGGGGAAACAGCTCAGAGCCATTTCCAAATACAACCTAAAGTAATTACTAAATGGTTAAAAAGCTAAATGATATGAATATAACAGATAAAATGAAGATAAAAGTAATAAATAAATGGCAAAAAGCCGCAATTTATGGATTTAGCAGTTAAAATATAAGAAAAACGAATTGATAAATGTTGAAAAAGTGAAAAGTTATGGATCCAACAGTTAAGATGAAAAGTAAAGTTGTTGAAAAAACTTAAAAGGTATGGATGCAATAGTCAGAGTAAAACTAACAGTAAATGATAAATGTTGAATAAAGTCAAAGACATAAATATAACAGATAAAATAAAGGTAAAAAAAATAATCGATAAATGTTTATAAAGTTAAAAGTAATGGATATGACAATTAAAATAAATCTATAAGTAATAGTAAATGTTGGGAAAAGTGAAAGTTATGCATAGAGCTAAAAGCTAAAAAAAACTGATGAAAGTTATTGATCTAACAATGAACACAAAAGAAATAAAAAGCGACGCAACAGGTGAGTGGTTGAAATGTGCAGGTATGACAGCAAACTGGACCACACCAGTCCAAACACTGGCAGCTCAAATAAAATGATAAAAACAGGAACAGCTTTATTACGGTCATTAATTTGATCCGTGACCTGACATAATATCAAAGGGTGTTCGCTTGACATTGCTGTGGGTTTTAAGAAGCATTAAAAAAAAAGCAACCAAAAATAAAATCTAGTCTAAATTAGGCAAATATTTAGAAAATCTCAAGACAAAATAAAAAAACAAGCTAATAAATGCTAAAGTAATAATAAATAGCAGTCTAGTTATGTCCATTTCATTCATGTTTTCAATTGTTATTTAAAAACGTCACTGAAGAAGCAGTCATTTTTATTGACGTTATATTCCATTTACATCCCGGACCTCCTCTCTCATTGGTGCACACGGCTGTCAATCAATGTTTAGCTCCGCCCCTCAAAGCACGCGCTGTTGTAAAATCACCTTTACGTGACGCGAAACACCTTTAAACCAGGTGTGTTTCAGCTCCGACCGTCCCGTAAAGACAAAATGACCCCCCACCCACCCACCCCCCAGATTTACCGCTGTGTCGCCGACGTTATTATTTTACAGACGTCCTCTAATGCGGCTCTCAGATTCACAAACAGTCCTGGAAGTGACAACCGGAGCAGCGTCGCCGGTTGTCGGTGACTTTAACGGGACTCAAGAGCGTTCACGGGCTCAGTGTTGGGGTGAAGTGTTGCTGAAACGTGAACTCGCCTGCTGCTCCGTGCTGGTTCTCCTCCGTCGGCCCCCTTCGGTGTTGTGTAAGGCGACGGGCTGCGTTCAAGAGCAACCACGGCGATGACCAGGACTGTGCTGCGTTCAGGTACTGCCCACCAACAACAGGTTTTAGTTTTAGCCTCTTCTGCTACTAGTTTTAACCTCTTCAGCTTATACTTTTGATCTCTTTAAGCTCCTAGTTTTGGCTTCCACTTTATTTGCTTCTAGCTTGCAGTTTTTTTGTTACTAGCTTTAGCCTTTTGTAGATCCTGGTTTAGGCCTTTTTTAGCTTCTATTTTAGCTGCTTTTAGTTTCTAATTTTAGCTTCATTTAACATCAGCTTTAGCTGCTTCTAGCACTTAGTTTTTTTTTTTTTTTTTTTTTTAGCTTTAACCTCCTTCTAGCTTCTAGTTCAGTTGCTTTTAACTCGTAGTTTTGGCTTCTTTTAGCTTATAATTTAGCTGTTTTTAGCTTTTAACTTAAATCTCATAGGCTGCCATTTTTTCTGCTCCTAGCTCATAGTTTTAGCTTGTTTTGTTACTAGCATTAATCTTGTCTAGCTTCTAGTTATGCTATTTTTAACCCATGGTTTTAGCCTCTTCTGCTACTAGTTTTAATCTCTTCAACATATATGTTTAATCTCTTTAGGCTCCTAGTTTTTGCTTCCACTTTATTTGCTTCTAGCTTCTAGCCTGCAGTTTTAGCTTGTTTCGTTACTAGCTTTAGCCTTTTTTTTAGCTTCTAATTTTAGCCACATTTAGCTTCCATTTTTTCTGCTTCTAGCTCATACTTTTAGTTTGTTTTGTTATTAGCGTTAACCTCTTCTAGGATCTTGTTTAGTTGCGTTTAATTCATAGTTTTAGCTTCTTTTAGCTTCTCATTTAAGTCTCATTTAGCTTCCACGTTTTCTACTCTAGCTCATAATTTTAGCTTGTGTTGTTTGTAGCTTTATCTCTTCTAGCTACTAATTTAATTGCTTACAACCCATATTTGTTTTAGCCTCTTTTCACTTCCAGTTTTTTAGCCTATTTTAGTTTTTAGTTTAGCTGCGTTCAGCCTCTAGTTTAAGTCTCATTTAGCTTCTACTTTAACTGCTTTTAACTCCTAGAATTACCCACGTTTAGCATTTAGTTTAGCTGCTTCAAGCTCATAGTTTTAGCCTGTGTTGTTTATCCTCTTCTAGCTTCTAGTTCAGATGTTTGTAACCCATAATTTTGGCCTCTGTCAGCTGCCAGTGTTAGCTTCTTTTAGCTTCTGGTTTAGCTGCTTTCAGCTACCATATTTGGCTTCATTTAGCTTCCACTTTAGCTGTATTTAACTTGTAGTTTTAACCTGTTTTATTATTAGCTTAAACCTCTGTTGCCTCCTAGTTGTAGTTTCATTTAGCTTCCACTTTACCTGCTTCTAGCTTGCACTTTTGGCTTGTTTTGTTACTAGCCTTACTGTGTTGTAGCTCCTAGTTTTGACCTGTTTTAGTTGTAGTTTTGCTGCTTTTGGCTGCTGGAAATAATAATTTAAAGCACAAAAATCCTACAACTGTGTAATTTCTGGCTGCACCTTTTTACAGCGGTGTAGAACTTCCCTGTGAAACCTGTTCATTGAGGGAAAACATGCAGATTCCAGATAAAATGATCCCTTCTAGAAAAATGACTAAGCACAAACTTGACAAAAAAAACTGTGGTTAAGTTAATATTTTAATAAAACAAAGTACAAAATAAAGTTAGCAGACATACAGCGTCTTGCCACTTGAAAAAAAAAAACAACACCTCATAATCGTAGGACACCTGAACACACATTCTGATAACGTCATTACAAATAAACCCTGTCATTTTAATATTTACTGCAGTTACTCTCATTCATGTGAAACACACAGGAGCCATAGAATGAATATACAGCCTGTTATTGTTAACAGTAATACAAACGGCCACCTAAAGATTCACGGTTAATGAATTCGTTAATGGGAATCGCCACACATGTACTTTCTCTTCACAGCAGGAGAGTCTCTCGAACTTAAACCACAATAAAACCTCTGTTCTTGTGCAGATGTGTGCTAAATATACACGAAGACCGACACACACACACACAGACACACACACCCACGGTGTATTTGTGCGTTGACAGAGTGTATGTTTGCGTTAGGAGTAAAATGTGAGGACACTCTGGTGGTTTCCTCGGACCAGCAGCAGTGGTGGGAGGTCTTTGGACAGAGTTTCCAGCCAGCACATGTAGAGGGCGCTAGACACTGTGCCCTTCCTGGCCAAAGGCATGCTCCTAAGCACAAAAAAACAGTGTTTACAGTTAGTTAAGAGTGGAAATAGGCACGGAAAATACACTAGTGACAAAGAATTTACTAAAACCAGTCCCATTTAGAAACAGTTTTTAAAACTGAGCACGTCTCAGTTTTCTCTCTGAGATGATCTAAAGCACAAATTAAGAAACATGGTTGTTTGAACATTTGAAATTATGTTCCACAAATTTCTCTTTAGTGAAAACAAGCACAATAAATCTAGCTTTGATTTGATCTGCAGTCGCTTCTAGATTGCATTAAATTCGATTGAACTTGATTGTCATGGCACTGGTTAACCACTGAGACAACAAAATGAGATGTTTTTTTGTTGTTGTTAATGCAACATATTCAAACAAACGGGCATACAGGCTGCGTTTCAAATTGCAAAGGTTTTCTTTCTATTCAGTACACACTGCAGCCGCTTTTACAAAATACTCAGCGCTGCATGCAGTGCAGTTCCGATGTATTATTTCATCGTAACGTTGCGCCTCGAGCTTTGACCATTTTTCGCTCATGTATTCATGTTTTAAAGTCTGTCTGTGCACTTTCAGTGGTTCAAGCCGGTTTATGCTTGTGTGAGGAACGCCGTCTCCTCGGGATGATTAGATTTTGGGGCCAATTGGTGCAAAAACGGCTCCACTCGAGGTCAAACGTCATGTCAGCAACAATGCTGTATGCCTTCAGAGCGGTGGAAGGCAGATTTGTGGTATTTTCTGCAGATGAGCAGCCACGTTGGTGCATTGTGTTGGTGAAGTTACATGTCATATTACATACATTTCCTGACTCAGTTCCACCAATTCTGTCAGGAGGAATGGGCCAGAATTCATCAGACTGTTGTGAGAAGCTTGTGGAAGGAAACCCAGAACGTTTGACCCAAAGTCATAGAGTTTAAAGGCAAGATGGAGATGGATGGAAACTTCTGACTCTGAAGAAAGTCATAAAAAATTCTCTCTAGAAATAGTTTTGGTAATCCTCACTGACCTGAAACAGGAAAAGTTTCGTCTGATTTATGTCAGACAGTGAAAAAAAAGGTTTTATGTCTTTTTATACAGTGGATGTAAACTTCTGGTTTCAATTGCATGTAGGCTTCCCACTGGGGATGTGACATTTGACCTTGGACGATATTTCAAGGTCATAAGCGTTGACATTGCCATTATATTTTAAATAAGATGTAATGTATACATGTAGGGCTGAAACAACTAATCGATTATTTAAATAGTTGTCAACTAATTTAGTCATCAGTTAGTTGCTTAATAACATTGTTGTGTGGCAGTAACGAGCCACTGGTGGCTGTAATCTACCAGCACAGCACGAGAAGCAGCCAACAGCCAATAGTTGGACTTATTTTGCATCACGTGCGCCACATCACGCGTTCAGCTAGTCGGCGGAGGCGGCAGGCGAAAGTTTGAAGAAAAAGAGATAAATCAGGAGAGAAAACTTCACCAACAAAATCATCCAAAGTGTGGGAGCGCTTCACTCTAAATGTACAAAACACACGAGTGACCTGCAAACCTGGCAAAAACAATTTGACCTAATTTTTAAATGTTTGATGCTTTGAATTGAAAAACTGCACTGACTAGGTAGATGTTACGCTCATTGTGTTCCTTCTGATTTGAGCTGCGTTGTGCAGAAATTAGCTGAATAAAATGCTGTAGATGGCACAATTCTGTTTAAAAAAAGAGATGACTCTATTATCAAAATCATCGTTAGCTGCAGCCCTATATACACGGATGGTGTCTGTTTCGCCTTGGACAACGAGCCAACCACGATTAGTGAAAGACAACACCTATGTTGTGGTTAGTTGGATGGAATAATGGTTTACTGGGCTCAGTGCAGTCATGGCCGACACAGGTGACTATCTATAATTTCAGTTCTAAATCTTTTTGATGCATACTCCTGCATATAGTACGGTTGTTGGAACCCGCCCACCAGGGCCGGCCCTGACCAATTTGGGGCCCTAGGCAAGATTGTAGTTTGCGCCCCTAGCATCACAGTGAATTTCACTCCTAATTTTCATACAGTAACACAAACTGTATGCATGTATTCAAGCTTTTATTTAAGTATAAACAACACACTAAATGAAACTGAAGAAACAAGTCTTTGTGACACTCCCTGGCTAACTGACGTGTATTCAGGCAAATATTTAACCACAAGCGCCGATGCAGGTTCTCTACCGTCGTCTTCAGACGTTAGCGAAGACGCTAACGTCTTCGCTGCTAACGTTAGCAGCTAAGACGCGAATGTAACATCTTTGCTGCGGACGTTAGCAGCTAAGATGCTAACATCTTCGCTAACGTCTTCGCTGCTAATGTTAGCAGCTAAGACGCTAACGTAACGTCTTTGCTGCTAAAGGTAGAGAAACTGCATCGGCGCTTGTTGATAAATACTTGCTTGAATACATGTCAGTTAGCCTGGCAAGCTTGTGGCGCCCCCCATGGATGTCAGCGCCCTTAGCATTTGTCTATACTGCCTATGCCTAGGGCCGGCTCTGCCGCCCACAGTGTCACGTAAACGCCAGATCCAGGTTTCTTTGTAGTCGGATTCATCCTCACTGACTAGTTTATCGGTAAAACTAAACCTGTGATGAAAGCTGTGAAGTCTCGACAGGATAATTCTGCCGTTTCTGATCAGCAGCCAGAAAACTTTGGTTCTTACATGACGATGAGTTTGGCGGTGCCGGAGTGTTCCTTCAGCAGCTCATTCAGTCGGATCTGACGGTTGGTCTGAAAGTCACAAACAGCACGTTGTTTTAAACTTTACCGCGGAGGTGAACTTGAACAGATGGGGCACCGTGATTGGTCAGTGACGGACCTTGGCCTTGTAGAGCTCCAGCTCGTTGTCGGTGATCCTCCAGGGCTCCTGGGCCTTCAGCCTCTCCGCAGCCTCCTGCTCCATGTCGTCCTCCTTCAGCCTGTACGGCTCGATCAGCTCCTTGAAACTCAGCTTACTGGAAAACGGCACATATGTTAGCTCTGGTGTTGCACCTCAGTATGATTTCAAAGACATTTTTCTTTTCATTTAACAGCCTGCACATGTTGATTCCTCGTGGTGGCCTCGAGGGATGTGACCCAACCTGATGGCAACATTTGTTTCCCTTAAAATTATTAAATTATTACGAATAAATGGGATTAAAGCTGCAATTTTTGGAAGCAATTATTAGAGTAATTTGAAACGGGTACATAAAAATAATCCCACTGTGCCTTTAAATCTTTAAATAACTGAACACTGAACCTAATGTTGTTGTTGTTGTTGTTGTTGTCCAATAAGCGGGCTCCTGCCTAAGTTAGAACTGTTAACTCTCTGTTGGCATCATCGTCGGACCTCGAGTAGCAGTTCCAGAATCTGGATAGCACCATGTATCCCCTGGCCTTTCTTAGCAGATTTTTGCCCTAATTGTTCGTTTGTGGATCTTGTTTTGGATTTCTTGCTTTCACCATGAAGTAGAGGCCTTCACAGGTCAGAACTATCTACACAAACTCAAAGTGGATAAATTGAATTTCCTGAATAGACTCGATTCAAAACCCAAGAGAGAGAACAGGATGATGCGCTACGAGTTAAGTTTGTTCAAATAACAGCGAAAAAGAGCAAAAAAAAGTTGTAATATTTGTTGTCTCCTGCAGGGATTCAGCACAATGAGAATTACTCAGGTTCTAGATGTCCACATACTCAACTGGACCAGTGAGGTACCAGATTGTGAAACACGTCCTACAAATAAAGTTATTATCGTTAAAAAAACTCAGTCGGTCAACTCTGCAGACGCCATCAGAGGTCGTACTTGTGTTTCTTGGGTTTGGTGTTGATGTCTCCGAGGACGTTGATGTCGGAGAAGTCGATTCTGAACCTGCTGAGCAGCGTGGCCATCCTGGTGGTACAATGACAGATGCTTAAACTCATGTAGAAAGACACTTTGGTTCTCTCTGTGTTTGTTGTGTCGTGCAGCGGTGGGCTGACTCACGCTCGGCGGTCGTGGTCGATCCGGTTGATCTTTCCGCCGATGAAAACTCTGATCCGGCAGTCGCCCCACTTACTCCGGTTAGTCAGCAGGTAGGGAATCAGCAGAGTCAGACCTGCACACAAACACGTGAACTCGGTTTATAGTTTCAAACGCTAAACCAACTTATTCTGGTAGATTAATCAGCGCAACTGGACTGGCTTGACGTTCTTGAAGACGTTCCACCTCTCATCCAAGAGGCTTCATCAGCTCTGACTGACTAGTTGGGAGTTCCACATACTGGTATCCTCAAGGAGACATTAACACCTGAGTTTCGGTTTCATTTGGGGGTTTGTTGCTCCTCCCCCTCGTTATGAGTTGTTAGTGGTCCCCCTGACACAAAGGGGTTCACCAACTTGTTCTGCCGTTTTTATTCTAGCAGAATGAATAATTTTTCTCGAACTTTCGTCAAAGTTTATTTTCCTGGTAACATGGCACTGTGCCAATGTTTTGGATACTTTAGGATAAGATAAACTTTATTGATCCTTCACCGCGGAAATGTACACATCAGGAAGAAGCAGGACAAGAAGCACTAAAGTACAATAAGGCTGAAAATGAAGATATAATAATGACAACGTCCAAGGCGTGATCAATTTACATGTGATATGTATTGTTTAGATTCTCATCCTTTACTCAGCACCATCAGATGGGTGCTAAATTCATTTTCTAAATTCATACCGTTTTATAAAATGAACCAAATAATCCATCATTAAACACTCGGTCTTTTGCTCCGTGTGTTTTCTACTGAACATTATGTCTATGCTGCCCTCTACTGGCAGAGTGAAGCAGTAAAACTGAAAGAAAAAGGGGTTCAAAGTTTTCAGGCTGCAGACAGAAATCCATCCATCCATTATCTATACACCGCTTAATCCTCATTAGGGTCGCGGGGGGGCTGGAGCCTATCCCAGCCGACTTAGGGCGAAGGCAGGTCGCCAGTCCATCGCAGGGCCACACTTAGAAACAGATTTAGAATCTACGGACAATTTAGAATCACCAATTAACCTCAACATGTTTCTGGACTGTGGGAGGAAGCCGGAGAACCCGGAGAGAACCCACGCTGCATGGGGGGAACATGCAAACTCCACGCAGAAAGATTCCAGTGCCCCCACCGGGACGCGAACCGGCAACCTTCTTGCTGCGAGGCAACAGTGCTACCAACTGCGCCACCCTGCAGCCCGCAGACAGAAATTCTTAACTTTAATCTTTACGATAACTGTTTCAAATTCTGACATTCACTCTTCAGCTGTTTTCTTTCAACTTTCTCAGTTTGTCGTAGTTAGTTAGGTTGAATATGTACATGCTAAAATGGACAATATGTTGTTCCTGTCTTAAATGTAACCTATATTTACGTTTCGTTTCACTTTTGTGGTGGAGAAGTATTTTACATCATAGGTTACACTGATAAAATTAACACTGCTGCAGGGAATAACCAATAGATCACTTGATTCGGGTGAGACGGATAACGTGGAGGGGACATTCAGTGTATAAAAGCCGACCTCCGTCATCAAACAGCCACCAGACGTCGATGGTTCCTTTGCCCTGTTTCTTCTTGAACTGCTGGCTGCTCTCCAACAGACGCTGGTCGGTCAAACTCAGCGGAGACTTGGTCTCTGCAACAGACCACATCCCACATTACACAAGTTAAGAAACGCAAATGATTCCAGGTGTGCACTTATCAGTAATTAAAGGATGTTTCATTGCAACCTGTGATATATTTCTAAAAAATATGCCAAAAATACTCGTTTTTATCAGAGACAAAAACTGTAAAATCAGAAAACAAATCAACTTTCTTCTGATCCTTCATGTAACCATGTGTCATTAATGGTTCGACTGAAAAATGAACCAAATCTAAGCTTAAAATTTTGAACTTTCTCAGAGTTACTTCATTCAACATCTTTCTCTCTCTCTCTCTCTTTTTTAAATTGCCAAAAATAAAGAGTTTGCACTAGATTCTGTAAAAAAAGAAGAAATTCTGAATCCTGACTGACCAACAGTCACATAACAACAATGTACTGAGTTTTCAGGTTGAACTGAGGCAGCGTTGGGCAAAAAAAAAATCAAACCTACTGGATCAATTAAAAACGAGACACTAAATGGCAAAAACAAGACTCATCAAAAATAAACAAGTTAATAAAAAAATAAAAAAAGAGACACAAAACAGCCAGAACAACACACAACTCGTCAAAAATGGGACTTGAAACAACAAAACTGGGACGCAAAGTGACTACAAAGAGGCAAACGTGTCCCAAATGCACGAAATGACAAAAATGGGACAAAAATAGACAAATAAAGAGAAACAAAGCGACATAAGCGAAAATGAATGAAAACAAACAAGATAGAAAAAAACAAAACAAATGAAAAATGAGACACACACACAAAAAAATGGTGCATGTTGGTTTTTTTCCCGTAATCTTGTAATATAAATAGAAAATTCTGTCATTCTGCACAGATTCGTGGTTGTTCAGGTTCCATGGAGCTGTAAGACTTTATATTGTGGTGAGAAATGAAGCAGGAGGAGTGGTGAGGAAACATGAGATGAGACAGGACCTAGAAGCAGATCCATTTGAATTCTTCCTGGTCGTTTACCTCTAATGATGAGCGGGCTGCTCTGGTTGCTGGTGGTTTTTGAAGGACAGGAGTCAGAATCTGAGTCTTTGGCCAGACTGACAGAAATCAGAATGTCTTTACTGCCGACTGGCGGCTTCTCGTGAGACGACAGCAGCTCGTCTGCAGGAAACGGACAGAAACGGTAAAAACAGGACGTAGACAAACTGATCTAGAAAGTAGAAAGGCAGATGTACCTTGTCCCTGGATGTGAGAGATGTCCAGTCCGTCCGGCAGTCGGAGGATCACGACTCCAAACTGCAGGTCGAAGGCGTCACTGGAATATAAATCATGAGATCTAACGTGAACCTGCTTTTTAAATGAAGAGGTTTATTTTTTTCTTGCTCCCATAAAGCTCAGCTCTTCAAAAATCTCCTCAAGTGAGCGTAAAGACTGCTTTTGTCAAAGTTTGTAGATTTTTTTTTAAGGGGTCATTCCACCTGAATTCATCAGATGGCTCCCCGCGTGACCATTTTGGAATTTGAGGATGAAGAATTCTCGTCAAGATGGGATCATCCCAAGTTTTAGGATCAGAACTGATAGTTTTTGCCACAAAAAATATTGAAAAAAAAAAGTAATTTCTTTGCAGTTTTTGGAAAATTTGTGACGAGACTTTGGATGACAATATCTCAAGAAGTATTTAAGGTACAGAAGACATTTCCCCTCTGCTGGAGATGTTCAGATCCCACATTACAGGTTCCTCAATGCATATGCTGAGATTCTATGACCTGTCAAATGGCGGGAAATATTAGCACCAGACACCACCTTTGTAAACAGACAGGATTTACAACAGAAGTCTGACATTTTTGTGTTCCATAGTCCAATGTGAGTTGTTTCAATGCACCCGATTTCATGAAGATGGGACAAACAGCCTTTGAGATACTGGCTCTCAAAAATGGTAAACATCACAATTTCACGTTGCCAATGAATGAGACACCCACGCATAATCGAAGTCATTTGAAAGAGAATGTTCCCAACTTGTTGTGGGGACATATTCTAATCTTTTTTTCAATTTTGCTTTTTGAAATGTTGATTCTAGTTGGGTTTTTTTTCCTAAAAATATTCACTTATGCACTTTATTTGGCAGCTGAGAGACAAATATTGGTTGTAAATATCCATACAAGTGAATAACAAAAAAAAAGATCCTCTCTATATATGTATATATCACTGGGCTATAAACCATACGATAAAATGTTAATCTGGTTTGTAGATAAACAGTTTTATACCTCCCATGAAGCTCGACTCTTTTAAAAAAAGAAAAGTCAAAAACCACCTCGAGCGAGCGTTAAAACTATTTTAGCGAAATCGCAGATGCTTTTTTTCCAACTTTAGTTTCCATTAACTGTTTCTAATGTGATACTTTAAAAAATAAGAATTTGCATCCCTGCAGAAATTGGGTTCTTTTGCCCTGAGTTTGCCTTCTCAGGTTCAACATCCTCGCCGTCTGCAGACACCAACCTTCATCTTGACACGAATCCAAAACTGCAAACTCTGAAGACACGTCGGTTCTTACTGTATAGTGTTGATGTAAATCTCCACGTCTCTCATGTCTCCGTCACTCCAGTTGTTCTTGAAGCCCATGACCAGAGTGTTGGGCTTCAGTCGACCCAAACCAACCGCCTGAAGAGAGAATGCATTCATTTAGTAGTGTCAAGGCCAGATTAGTTCATTCTCACTTGAAACCCCAAATTAGCCGAAGAAAAACGTGGAAAAGGAAAGTGAGCTGTTGGGTTTGTCCGGTGTTCACACCTGCAGGAGCAGCTGAGTGCCATGTCTCAGGTTATCGGCCAAAACAGGAGCGTAAAAGGCTTTGATGCGTTTTTTATTGAGCCAACGCTGACAGCGAGCGTGATCCTGAAACAGCTCCTTAAAGTTCGGCCGCCGGGTCACCTGGTTGGGTCGAAAGAGAAAAATGTTGAGTTATAACCCCAGAGACTGATGGTTGGTAAAAGCTGCCGGTGCGTACGTACGGTCCTGATGTGACCGCAGACCATGAGGCTGACGTTCTTGGTGAAAGAGTGAACCAGGTGCAGCAGAGCGGGACGGGAGTTTGGATAACCAGCCAGAACCAAACACTGCGGCCTGCAAACAGGAAGTGTTTACACATTTAGAACATTGAATTCAAGCAGGTTTGGAATCGCGTTCAGTTTGAGCGAATTATTGTTGAAGACAACAAAACTATGATAATTTTGGTAAAAGTGCGTAAGTTTGTGGCGCACGTCGTGGTCACATGAGTACAATTATTACTAAGGACAAGATTTTAGGCTTTCTGTCGGTCCTATTTGGATCCTTGTGGCTTCTCTTTCTTAAAGGGTTGCGCTCATCCCTGATGGTCCTTTACATGTTCACATATCGGGACTTCCAGGGACCTTCCCAGGTGTTGCAGGAGCACTGGGAGCAGTGTGTCGATGCACAGCTACATTACTTCAGTGGTAACATTTGCATTAGGTCTGGTTTTTAATTTTCATAGGCACAGTTTTGGAACTTTTCGCATCTACATTTTTAGAACTGATTGTTCAGAAATCTGCTGTTAGTTAACTTCCTGTTTGATGATTGTATCTGAAGCACCACCAAACAGGTTTGTCAGAGACAGATTTAAAGGATAGTTCAGGTTTATTTCAACCTTAATGTGTCTAATGTGTTTCAGTGGGTTATGCTAACATTACACTCTTTATGGAAAACGAGGAGTTGTAAAAAAAAAAAAAAAAAGCACATACAGTTGAAACGAGAAGATAACATCCACTGTATAAAAAGACACAAAACCTCTTCTTTCTCACTATCTGACATTAAATCAGACCAAACGTTTCCTGTTTCAGGTCAGTCAGGATCACCAACATTATTTCTAGAGAGAGAATTTTTTTAATGACTTTCTTCAGAGTCAGAAGTTTCCATCCATCTCCTCAGTATCTGGTAGCGTTGCCTATAAACTCTATGACTTGGGTCAAACGTTCTGGGTTTCCTTCCACAAGCTTCTCACAACAGTCTGATGAGTTCTGGCCCATTCCTCCTGACAGAACTGGTGGAACTGGGTCAGGTTTGTTGGTCTCCTTGCTCCACTGATGTTCTCCAGGATGGAGATCAGTTCT